GACCCCTTAATAGTAATTAGTCTCTAATAATTTCTACAAAGACTAAACTGCCCTTACTTAAGTGTGGGGCAGAGTGTCTCTAATAAAGCTGCCACATAAGCATACAACTTAACAAAGATAAGATGACTAAACTACCCCTATTCGGCTCACTTTAACAGGTATTATTATTTAGTAAGATACAAAGATGCATGAGTGTAATGTGAGTGGTACCTTTGTATTGTCTGTGATCCTGCACGAGTAGCACTATATGGTGTGATTTGTGGTTCCATCCATGGTTTGCAATATTGTTGAGATTTGGCAAAATCTCCCCATTTTTCTAGGGGGCAATATGAAGCACTCGAAGAAGATTTTTCCCCTTATATCTTTGATAAATTGGAGATATATCAGTGATATTTCAAATTTCTAAATCATTTATCTTAAGATTTAAAATTTAGGAATATCATCAAAACTTTTCAATATTTTGTTAAATTCATTGATTTTTTGTTTAAAAGTTTTTCCTAAAAGAATAAATGGAGAGTCTGTGATTGGATGATTGGCCTACTAATCTGAATAGGATATTCACTTACCAAGTAACTATAATTCAGAAAAAAAAAAGATATACAACTGCAAAAGAGGATTCTCAGTCTAATCAAAACATATAGTAACAAAAAAGAAAAAGTCAGAATGACAAGTGGATGGCATTCATATAGAAGAGAAGATAGCAGAAAGACTAACTATAATTGTTTGCTTTTCCTTTTAAGTCTTAAATGTTCAACTATAATTCTTTTAACAATAGGTTTTATTAACAAGTTTCATGTTTTTAGTAATTACCTGATTTCTTTAGATTTTCCAAATATCTTAGTGAAATTAGTGAAGCATACCTGAAATTTCCCCATCTCTACATGGCGAAATGTCCATGAGATAGAAAATTCAAACCATGGTTAGATATAATTTTTAATACTCATGAACCAATTATGGTCTGTGTATTTTTATTTTATCTTGTAGTTTCTTTTTATTTTAGGGGCCATTGTTTGTGTATTTGTAAAATCTTGGGTTGAATACCATGAGAATATGGTTTCAAGTCTTAGAGTGTCCACTTTGTGCAAGAAAATGCTGAAGTCTAGGTCTGTAACCCGGTCCAGTCCTCCCTAGACCCTGGATAGTTGGGAGTCAGGACCATCATCGGGCAATGTCCATTTAGTTTTCTTTTATTCTCTCTCTCTCTCTTAATTTTTTTTGTGTGAAATATTATTGCTTTGGGATCATTATGTTCTCTATGATCCTGCACTTTATGATTAATGGTTATGACACATGCCCATCCTTCACAGAACAGAGCTTGTTGATTGTTTTTCGGTTTTTTGATCAAGCTTGTTGCTTGTTGATTGTTTATCCCCTCTTCCCCCAAAAAATGTAAAAAGAGGACAGAAATAAATTGGATGAAGTGTATCTTACCAGTTTGTATAGTTATTGCACACTACTGATTGCAAATGGTAGCCACTTTTTATTCTTCATAATGTATTTTCTTTGTAAATTATATTTTACTCAACTACTTTTTCCTCATCTCTGCTAACATAATTCTTGGTGGTTGATACCTTGTTACAGCATTTGGGAGTAGGGTTTGGATTACATATACAACGATAACCAAGTTCTCGTCTGACATCTGAAATATTGTTTTGGGAACAGCACTAGGTAAAATGTGAGATCAGCTGATGATTGCAGAAAGTATTCTGTTCAGTGTAATCTGATGTTGTCTTCAAGAGATCTATTGGTGGCCAATGCAATGTCTTCCACCAAAAGCAGGTTATGCTCAAACCAGGGTAACTGGAAAACATTCATTAAAAATTGATGCCTAAGATTCCATACATGATTTATGCTAGAACCAGGGTAACTGGAAAAGTTTCATTCAAAATTTATTCCTAAGACTCCCTACATTATTTTACATATCTTATTAATCAAAATTCTCAAGCACATTATCAATTTTAAGCTAATTCTGTGATTGTTCCTTAGGCATCTCACTGAAATGCAATTTGATAGGAACCTCAAAGGAGATCAAGGAGATCATGATGTTAGTTATCACTCAGACTAAGAGGCTATGGTGCTGTTTTCTTTCTACATATGTAGTGTTTGAACTTTATCCTTAATTTTTTTTTTGTTGAGCTTATACAGGATCTTGGTGTGGTCTATTTTTTCCGATGTATATGAACAGGAACTTTATTTAAGAATGAAGGCACAGAAAGAGGAGATACTGCAACTCCGTGAAAAAATTTCAGAGGCTTGCATCAAGGTGTAGTATTTAAATGCTTGGGATGCTCAGATGTTGATATAGTTATGCACACTAATATGGGAAATGGGGATTTGTCTTCATTTCCCAAGTTGAGGACATGATTATGAGTATGGATATCCCATTCCGGAGTGTTGTTTCATGCTCTACCCCTCCTTTTATATTTATGCTTAACATCTGTTTTATATTATATACATCATTCAAAATTTTATGCATCTTTATGAACTTATGCTAATTTTTTCTATGATGTGCCATTTAATATTTTCTTGATGAAAGAATTAGATAACTTGTCAGTATTCAAGAGTTACAGCCTTGAGTGCCATTAAAGACTTAATTTGAAGTTTAGAAGTATCCTTGGAGTAGTCAATATTAGTATTGGTACTGTGTTACACCAATATGAGTAAACTAATCATATTGAAATATCTTGGTGTCTTAGCGAAGAGATCTCTGCTTATACCCTTGTTTATGTTTCAACATTTTAAACATATACATCTTGACTTCTAATTTGCAAGAAAATGCTGGCCATGTATGGTTTTCAGGAGCTGCAACTTCTGAATGAGAAACATGTATCAGAGAGGAAATATTCAGATTTGCGAATGGTTTGTATACATCTTAGTAACATAGACTTTATTCTTGAAATGATTGGATTGGATTTTTGTGATCTAAGTTATAACTAAATTTTCTTTTGAGAAACTAGGCACTTGATCAAAGGCAGAAAGATGCTATAACTTCTGCTTTGGCTGAACTGGCACACAGGAAAGATGATCTTGAAGAAAACATAAAATTAGCTCATGATCTAAAGGTAATTTTTACTGAAGTAAATCTGTAGAGATGTAGTCCATTCTACTATGGAATACTGTAAAAATCTAACTTGACCATGCCTTTGTATGCCAATTGAATTATTATTTCAGCTAATTTTTGCATAAACATAAAAAAAAGGAAAAAAATAAAGAAAAAGTTAAGCAAACATTTACTCATTTTCAACTTTAGTGATAAATTAATTTTAGTTTTTGAATCACTTTTGGTAAATTTCAGATACATATATTATCATGTATTTCTTTTGAGAAAAGGTAAAGTATGATTGTATTAATGAAAGGTCCTGTGTACATTGAGAAGCTGTACATAAAGAAGGACCTCAAAAGAAGGCCATCCTCAAAAAAGTATAATCAGAAATACTATCTCTAAAATCAGTATGTATAGACATCTAACTTTTCAAAACCTCTATAGCCAAGTTAATGAACTCGGCTTCAGTAGAAGATTTTTTTTTTTTTCAAAAATACTATTGTTCCCTTATGACCATACAGCCCACAGAACTGCCATAGGGATGGAAGTCCAGCATAACTTTCCTTTCTTGGACAGCCCATGAATATGCCATTCCTCTAAAGAGCTCTAACTGAGGCTGGTAGCACCAACTTAGATTCAGGGATTTGAAGAAGTGAGACCAAACTGCAGAACTAAACTTGCAATGAAGGAAGAGATGCCTGGGGGATTCTACTTGCACATTGCAAAAACAGCACCTCCAATCTGACAAAATAAGACCTTTTTTTTCAGCGGAATTTCTTTGGACAAAATATATTAGCATGTATTTCATCTTCTTGTTGTGAACATTCTTGACACAACTGAGTTTTTTTTTTTTTTTTTGTTTTTACCAAGAACCAAAAATACCACTACTATATTCTCTCCTTTTTTGGGTGCGACTGTGAACTTTGGATAAAAATCTAGCTTGCTGGTAAAGTCTCTAGCTGGTTGTAATGGAGATCTGGTTGGAGTGGTTAGGGGAAAAGGATTAAATATTTACTAGTAAACTTTTCATATGTCCTTTTTTTTTTCACTTACAAATATTCATTTGTTTTTGCTTGGTCAGGTCTCTGCATGTCTTGTCTTATATGTGCATGTAACACCTCATATATTTTATTCATAATTTACTCTCTCTCCAGGATGCTGAGGATGAGCGATATATTTTTACATCATCTATGCTTGGCTTATTGGCCGAGTATGGTATTCGACCTCATGCAATAAATGCTTCTACTATTTGCAATAATGTTAAGGTATTCAGAGTTCATTTCTAATACACCTTTTGTTTTATCATGAGTATTTTCTTAGTGCTATTGTATCTTATATGTTCATTAAGAATAATTATGGAAGGGAATATGATATTCATTATTGTTAGAATACACAAATCAGGGGTATTTTGGTCATTTGGGTTTATCTATTTGAGAGTGAAAGGTCTATTTTGTTTAAGTTATGTGTCCCATCTCTTATGAGGGACAATATGGTCTTTCTTGTAACTATGTTATTGGAGATAAATACAAGTGGGTCGGCTAGAGGTGGACTGATTTTTCCTAATCTGGCCGAATCCTTCTTCTTCTCTTCTTCTTCTTTCTCTTCTTCTTCTTCTCCTCTTTTTCTTCTCTACTTTAACCTAGAATCAAATAGGGATTTCACAATTATGTTGTCCATTTACCTAGATGCATTGTCTTTTGAGGAAGTGCCTTTTTACATCAAGTTATAATATTATGTGTTTTTGCATGAAACCATGAGTCTTTTTTTTAATAATAAAACCATGAGTCAAGGGTTGAATCTTAGTTTATATACCAAAGAGGGGGGGGGGGGTATACAAGAGATAGGGGAACACCATTTTCATCATCTTACTTGAGAGCTGTTGAGATTGTTTGGATGCAAGGGTATTCTTGTCTTTTTCTTCTATTGTATTTGGGTTTTCTCTTGTATTTGGGCACCTATATGAGGGATTACTTGTAATTTCTCTCAATAGTATAAAATTCCAAGTTTGAGAGAGTGAACAGTAACTCTCTCTTCTCCATTCGAACCTTTCTATCTTCTCTTCTCTTCTCCTTTTCTCCTCGTTTTCTCTCAACAAAACCTAGATATTGTAACTAGAGCCATACCAATAATATACATCAACAACAACAGCAACTAATAACAATGACAGTAATAATAACAATAACATTAATAATAATAATAGTAATAGTAATAATGTAATTGTATTTTGTATTGTTAACATGCCTTACAAAATTACATATAAAATGGACAAAGTCCACTCAAACAATTCAGTTCCCAGACTGATATAAAAGAAATAATGGAGTTCTTATCACAAAGATGAAACTGCTAATAAGCACTAAGGAGTCATTAATTATATCTATGAGGGGGGTGGGACTGGCTCTTATGAGGATGGCAATTGCATTTTGAACAGCATATTTGATACCTTGGGTTTTAATGTATCACTCTTTGGTTCCCTTGTCTTGTATTTTAAGTTAAATGCTTGTGAACAAGTAGTGGTCAAATATAGGAGTTCCTCTAGAAGCTCCCCCCCCCCCCAAAAAAAAAAAAAAAAAAGAAAGAAAAGAAAAAGACGAAAAAACTCTGCTGGCAAAGGAATCTGCAAGATAGTTAGGTGACCTAGGGACCCATCTGAACGGTGGATTCACTTTGGATATTAAAGACCTAGCTTCTCTAATAAAAAAGAGTAGGGACCAAGGGTACTCACTATTCCTACACATGTTGTAATGTTTAATATATCATTCCACTTTAGGGGACTCAAGTATAATCATTTCACTGATCATTGGGGTTCTATTTTGTGGGAAGGCAGCTTTGCTGGTTGATGTTGTTCTTTGTATTTTGCTTTTTCTTTGGCTTCTGTATTCTCCCTTGTACTTTTTCTGTCTTCTGGGGCACACCTCATTGTTTCTTTTGGTATGTTTGCAGCGTTTATATGATCAACTTCAGTGGAAGATTATAACTTCTCATGTAAGCTTACATCCAATAACTGCATATTCTTTTTCTAATTATACACTTAAACACAGTTATATTAATTGAATGACTTTAGCCTCTTTAACAAATTGTATCCTTGTTTGTCTTTTCATTATTTGTCTTACTCTGTTGTCAGGATCCTAGATGTTTGTATCATTGTAGTGCATTTCAGATTAATATATTTCATATGCTAGTAAAACAATATCTGTTTTACCTGTGACAATTAAAAAAAATAAATAAATAATTTGAAGAATGGAAAGATGTGGCATTTTAAAGGACAACGTTTTATTTGTCTTGTTACATATTAACACATCAAGAATCTAATCCAGCTTGCTTGTAACACTAACTAAAACACCATTAAAACTAACACCAGTTTTTTCCTGTGGTAGCTTTTACATTGTTAAACGTCTGTTAGTATATGTTAAAAGTCTCTTAGTGTACTCAGAGATTAGTACCGCAGGGGTACTGTTGTGATTTCTCCCTTTCTTTTATTTGTTTATGTCGCCCTAATATAAATACTAAAAGCTGGCGCTGCCAGCCTAACTTTTGGCTCTCAAATCTTTTTTCTCTTTTCTCTCTTCTCTTCTTCTTCTTCTTCTCATCTTCTGGACAATATGGTATCAGAGCTGGACTATTGGATCTGAAAGGAGATCGAGCATGCCTTCTTTTTCTGTCTTCTCTCTTCACCAGCTGCTGGTTGTTTTACTCCAGAGCACAGCATTGGACTGTTCTAGAAGTAGGTTCACGCCATTTTTTTAATTTTTTTTTTCTGGTCGTGTACCAGACAGAACCTGTAATAGTTAACTGTTGTGAGGTGATCAGCACCTCTTCTTTTCTTTTTTGTGGGATCGGTTGATCCTTGTGATGATTTGTAGGTCGGTGATGACCTGTATATGCTTTGACAGTAGTCCTATAGTATGTTTGTAGATCAGGAGATGACCTGTATGTACTGTAACAGCAGTAGACTTTTCTTCTTTGATGATTGAAGGGCAGTAGACTTTTCTTATTTGATGATTGAAGGGCTGTGTTTGAACTGAAAGGTTGTTGTCTCTAGTTTCCTGGTGCAAAGACAATTTTTTTAACAGTAATATAGTGTGTGAAGAGGGGAATTGTGTGGACTGGAGACAAAATTAAATAAACATTGATTTTCTGGGGTGTTGGATTGTACTGTTTTAGGGTTTTGTGACTACTTTGGGTGTGACCTGAAACAGTTATCATGAGTGGTGAAGATTCTGCCACATCTGGTGTTTCCTCAATGCAAAATGGATTGAGTGGGGGTATGGATTTATCTTTCCCTATGGCTTTCATACCTCTTGATGGTCTGAATTACTTAGAATGGTCGAAGGGGATCAGGTTGTACATTACTACAAGGGGAAAGGTAGGATATATAAATGGGAGAATTAAAGAACCTAATTCTGGCAGTGCTGAATATGATAGATAGAACTAGGAAAACAGCATGGTCATGCCTTGGCTTTTAGTCTTTATGCAACCTCAGGTGAGAAGAAATTTTATGTGGGCTGAAATGGCTTATGAGATTTGGGAACAAACAAAGTCAACCTATTCTGAATTGCGCCACTATGCAAAGATCTATCAATTACAGGTGGAATAACCTACTTGCAAACAAGGGGAAAGGAGTCTATTTGTATACTATTCAGACTTGACCTCCATCTGGAAGGAGTTAGATCACTATCAAAGTGTGGATTGGAAGTGTGATGAAGATGCAAAAGCATACAAGTCCCTTGTTTCCCAACAGTGAGTATTTGCATTTCTCCATGGCTTGAACTCCGTGTATGAATCCATTAGAGTCCAGATCCTAGGCAGCAAGGATCTTCCATCTGTCCAGGAGGTATATGCATTAGTACAGTCAGAGGAAAGTAGAAGAAATTTGATGAATAATTATGGGGGGGATGTAGTTGTGTTGGCAACGAAAGGGAATATTGTTACAGGTGGGGGAAATCCCTTTAAGAAGGGGGACTTTCAAAAAAGGGTGGACGAGAAAGACAAACTATGGTGCACCCATTGCCAGAAGTCTCGACGTACCTGTGATACATGCTGGGAACTTCATGGAAAGCCAAAATGGGCTCAGGAATTGAGTAAGAAACAAGGTCTAGATCTGAATAAGAAATTAGGACAACAAGGTCCGAGAAAGTTCACTACGGCAAACATGGCTACTTAGGAGAATTATCCCCCTACTACTACTGTAACTCAGATATACACCTCTGGTTCTGACCCTAGGGAGGATATCATTAATTGCTTTTGTGACCATTTAGAACTCTATGGTAGGGCAATTCATTAGATGGATGCTCCTCCCTCAACCTCATTTGCGTCTACATCAGGTAATTCTGCCACAACTTTCCATGTATGGTCTCATTCCCTTTACTGGTAACTCCACTTACTTTCAGGTAATTTTGGAGCGCCAAAACATGACTGATAAGTCCACTTACTTTCAAACCTATCATCTTCTCTCTGGAAGAGACAAGGTGAGACTAGTTGATGGGTCATACACTACCATAACTGGTCAATGAACCATTTCTCATTTGGTCTTACCCTTTCTAATGTTTTAGATGTTCCAAAATTACCATAGCTGGATGGACTTTACATGCTAGAAAATAAGGCTGGTCTTACAGTCACAAAGTCTAAGAGTCAGGTTTATTTATGGGACAGTCGTCTTGGTCATTTATCTTTTGACTCTTTGAAATTGGTATTCCCAGAGTTGTTTAAGTCGATGTCCATGTTAGAGTTTACATGTCAAACGTGTCAATTGAGTAAACATTGTAGAACTCAATTTTCTTCAAAGAATAATAAATCTGAATTTTCCTTCTATATTGTTAATTCTGATGTTTGGGGCCCTGTTACTTTACCATCTAAGAGTGGCTACAAGTATTTTATTACCTTTATTGATGATTATTCCAAATACACATGGGTGTATCCCATGCGAACTAGGGATAAAGTACCAAAAATTATCCAAACTTTTCAACGAATGATCTTCACCCAATTTCAAACTGAAATTCCAATCCGATAATGCCAAAGAATAATTTCATAGTGATCTCACAGAGTTCTTTGCTTCGCGTTGATCACTTCACCGTAGCTCATGTGCCCGAACACCCCAACAAAATGATGTTGCTGAAAGAAAGAACCTGCATCTTCTTGAAGTGGCTAGGGTGTTACTGATTCATGTGAATGTCCCAAAACGTTTTTGGCTTGAGGTTGTACTTTGTGTTGCTTATCTCATTAATCGTATGCCCTCTCATTGGTTAGAGTGCAAAGCCCCACATCAGCTCCGTTTTCCCAAAGCTCCTTTCCTTTCTATTCCTCCATGTGTGTTTGGTTGTCATTGCTTTGTTCAAAACTTGTCACCCACCCGTGGAAAATTAGATCCTTGTGGTATTCCTTGCATCTTCTTGGGGTACTCCACAATTCAGAAGGGGTACCAGTGCTTTGATCCAGTCTCTCGGAAATATTACATTTCTATGGATGTCTCTTTCTTTGAGAGTGAGCCTTTCTTCCCTATTTCTCCTCAGGGGGAGTGTAGGAATGAGGGAAAATATGTTCAACTCCCTCATCTTCCTGATCCTCTTCCCTTTCGTGTTTACTTTCGTCATCACAAAGGCTAACCATGTTCAAGAGATGTGGAGCACCTAATAGTTGTACCACCAATGCCATCAAATTCTCCAGGGGTGGATCCTACCCAACCAGGTACCTTGGTTCCCATTGATGTTTTTGACCCTATTGCTATTGATATCTCCATTGCTGATGACCTTGACCTTCCTATTGCTAACTGGAAGGGTGTTAGGTCTTGCACCACTAAACATCCCATTTCCCATTTTGTTTCCTATTAGGACATTTCACCTTCCTTTCGGGCCTTTATTTCTTCCATTGACAATGTTCCTATTCCTAAGAATGTGGTAGAAGCTTTGGTGCCTGAATGGACAGATGCAATAAAGGAAGAAATTAATGCTTTGCATAAAAATGGTACATGGGAATTGGTGGATCTTCCTGAGTAAATGGGTTTAGTGGCATAGTAGAGCCACTAAAACATAGGGCTGACGGCATAGTAGAGTGGTATAAAGCTCGTTTAGTGGCAAAAGGGTTTACACAATTGTATGGAGTGGATTATGCAGAAACCTTTGCACTAGTTGCTAAGATGAACTCCATTAGAGTCATTTTCTCTTTAGCCACTAATCTTGATTGGGACCTTCATCAACTAGATATCATGAATGCATTTCTAAATGGTGATCTTGAAGAAGAAGTGTACATGGTACAATCCCCTGGTTTTCGGGCTCAAGGTGATGAAAAGAAAGTGTGTAGGTTAAAAAAGTCCTTATATGGCCTGAAACAATCACCAAGAGCCTAGTTCAACAGGTTTTATGTAGTTGTTCAACAAACAGGCAACAAATAGTGTCAATCTGATCACACATTGTTTGTGAAAAGAGGGGAAGGAAAAATTGCAGCCCTGATAGTATATATTGATGATATGGTTATCACTAGTGATTGGAAAGATGAAATTCAAAAGTTGAAGGGATTTCTTGCTACTCAGTTTGAGGTGAAAGATCTAAGTCCTTTAAGGTACTTCCTTGGAATTGAAGTTGCTTGCTCACAAAAGGGTATCTTCATTTCCCAAAGAAAGCATGTTTTGCATCTCCTCCAAGATACATGAAAATTGGGAGTGAAACCTATTGATTCTCCCATTGATCCTAATCACAAATTAGGTGATTGTCAAGGTGAATTCATCAAGGATGTGAAACAATTTCAGAGGCTTGTAGGAAGATTGCTATATCTATCCATGACTCGGCCAGACATTGCTTATGCAATGGATGTTCTTAGTCAATTCATGCATGCCCCTAAGACCACCCATCTTGAAGCAGTTGAAAGAATCCTTGGATATTTTAAGAAATTTCCAGGTGCAGGTTTATTGTTCCAAAAGCATGAGCATTTGAAGGTTGAGGTGTATACCAATGCAGGTTGGGTAGGATCCTTGGGTGATAAGAAATCTACAA